TTAGCTGGGTGAGGGTGGAGGGAGAGATACATGTTACTAGACACACAGCCCATGTAGTTAGTTGAGCGACATTTAAGTTTTCCCAGTAGAAAAGATAAGCAGTTTCCATTCTCCCCAAGCATCTTACTTATTAAACGGTCATTCGAGCTCCTTCGGCAAGTCCTGGAAGAAAACCAGGGTGGAAACAGCATTTAGTGCTGCTAAGAAGCTGTTGCAGCCAGTCTAGCAAACTCTCACTAGCCCTCATTGGTACGGGGTATTGCAGGTGATACAGGACCTAACCAGGGAGAGGTAGAGAAGAGGGTTGTTTGGGCAAGGCCCAGAAGCGGTGCTAACAGAGTCTGGCCTGACTCCTGTGTGACTGCACCAGAGGGAAGCCAAACCCTGGCCTTGGGAATATGGACCTTCTGTGGTGCTGAGGACAGAAGGGGGGGCCTGTGGCATAGAGGCACAGTGGTGGCTGAGAGATAGTCAAGGGTAATGGCAACAACCCAAATTCTTTTGGGAATCTCTTGGACTTCCTTGACCAACATCTCAAAGGACGGTTTCCCATGCTTGGCCCTGGGGCCTTTGTGAGATAGTCTGGCTCTTGAGGCAAGCATAAAGTGCAACTACTGATAGCAGGCTATGGTATGCAATTTCAGTGGTTCACTTGAAAAGCTCATGTAATTCTGTCTGGTTCGTTCCTTGATGTGCACATTGCATAATATTAAAACCCTGCAGATTAATTTCTTCCCATCCAATGTTAGATAGCAACCCCCAAGTAAAAAAGAGATTTTTAAAACATGAAGATTCCAGCTCACGAAACAATGGCAGAGCCATAGCCTGCGTGTAGAAATTATGTCTGTTGCAAATTTACATGATAATGGACATTCCATGTTGAATTTGAGCACAATGGAAAAAAATCTATAAAGCAGTTGACATGACCTTAGATACCAATAACCTTAACATTAAACTATGGCATGTTTTGCACATTGAAGCAAACAGTGCCTCTGAAGTTTCAGGTGACCCATGAAAATAGTTTATCAAGTCTGCAGAGAAGCTGCTTCCAAGAGCCCTGCAGAGCTCACCTCATTCACGACGTGGCTCTGTCAACTCTGAAATCAGAACCATGCGTGGACACCTTTCTAAGCCGTCAGACAACCGCGCTGGAGCAGAGCAGCAAGTGTAGCCCACTCCTCATGCTCCGAGCAGATGGTGATGACCAAGTCTGTGGCGTACTGGTTCTGCCCATGAGTGACACCCTTCCCAGTCTGGTAGATTAGGAATACCAGCAAACAAGAGGAACACGTGCACACACAGATACAGAGTAGGACTTCATGCTCAGAAAGTCCCAAGCAGTATTTGTGACTCGTTCAGAATTGAGCACTGAACTTATAGGACTAGATTGGAGATTCAGTCCTAACTGATGAAAGCTTGCCATCTGTGATTCCAATATTCTGGAGAAGTCATCACCCATAAATAGAGCATTACCCATCTCCAACATGTCATTCATCCCATAGAAATCTGTGCCATTAGCCCAGAAGTCTTGGTCAGACTTATTTATTTTCGAGTCTATTCTGTGTGTTTTAATCTTGTTAATTTTCTTTCGTCTTCTTGAACCTTTAATCCTGGGGATTAAACTCAAATTCTTATGTTTGGAAGACAAGTATTTTACCAAACAAGATATCCCTCTACCACCAGTAAACTGTATTTTAATAGGCATGTTTTCTTTTAAAACTTGCATTTTTTAATATATCTTTATTACTTTATACTATGTGTCTGTGTGGACATACGTGCACATGAGTGCAGGTACACACAGATTATTTGTCTGTGTGTCTGTCTGTGTGGGGGTGTGTGCACATGAGTATATGTGCACACAGAGGCCAGAGTTTCAGATTGCCTCTAGGATAGGGGGGATTTGTCCAGTTTCTGAGTCAATGTATCTTTTCACGTTCTATATGATTGGAATCCTGACTACTGTGATTGATGAACATGAGTGAGGCATAGTTAGTCCTTTATCTCAAAACCCCTGATTTTATCATAGAGTAAACCAGTACAAATGTGAACCAAGAACGACATCTATACAAGAAAACGAACTGAAACCCCAAGTCATGTAAAGCAATAGTGCAGAAGCAGACCCTCCAGCTCTTCAGTTTGTGTCTTGCTTGTGTTTCCTAAGGACGCTGGTTTTCCCGTTCCTGATCCGGGGAGGGAAGCCGACACCTCTGTTTAGCTTTGTCGCTGCAGTCCTGTTCTGCACCGTCAACGGCTACATGCAGAGCAGATACCTGAGCCAGTTTGCTGTGTACGCTGAAGGCTGGAAGACCCATCCCTGTTTCCTGATGGGTGAGTGCACACAGGTCATTCCCTCCACTCAGGCCCCAGAGGCTCTATCAGAAAGCCCACCTGAGAGAAGAACCATCCTAGGAGGTCATGTGACCTCCCCTGGGGCTCCACAGCAGGGAGGATGAGGCTGTCCTTGCTTGGAACTTGGAAGCAGCACCAAGCTGCAGCTGGGTGGGGGCACTTGGAGATGCAGTGCTGCTTTTGATGCACCTGTGGGTGCAGAGCCAGCAGTCAAAAGGAGGAGGATTGCTTCTCTGTCTCCATGTCTGTCTTCTTTCTGTATTTAGTAAAAGATAAGTATCCAAATGCTTATGTTTTTTAATTTATTTTTTGAGACTTTCATTCATGAGTATTGTATTTGCAACCTTTCCATTCCTCCTTCTCCCTCCAACTCTCCCATGTCTCCCCAACTTCCTCTCAAACTTATAACCCCCTTTTCTTTAATTATGGTGACACACACGCACACACACACACACACACACACACACACACACACACAGATGCATGCACATACGCACGTACACAGGAAACCTACTGAGTCCTTTTAGTGTTGCTCAGATGTGTATGTGTTTGGGTCTGACCACTTGGGATTGGATAACCTATCATGGCGCTAATCCCTAGAGAAGATTGATTCTTCATCTTGTGAAAATCCCCAGCCACACTGGCACACCAACTGGTATTGTCATTACACTAGTCTTGTTTAGGCAACCATCCTGTTGAGATTTCATGGATGTGGCATCCTTGTCATGTGTAGAAGACAATGTGTCACAGCAGCCTTCCTGGTCCTCTGGCTCTTACGATCTTTATGCCCCACCCCCTTCCCTGAGCTTTAACTGCAGTGCCTGTGTTATGGATGTACCGCATCGGGTGGGTACTCTGCAGTCAGTTGTCCTCTGCATTCTGAGTGTTGTAGATTTCTGCAGTGGCATCTGCTGCAAGAGAAGCTTCTTGGATGAGGGCTGAGAGCTCCAGTTTTCAGGCTGTGTTGGAGTACAGGCTGTGTGACCCCAGCTAGGTCTGAGACTCAGGTGAATCTAGTGAATCATTTCCGTGTGAACTATTTGGATCATTCTGATAACATCCTTTTGGCCTGTGGGAGTAGCCACCATCTAAAGCTCATCATCAGACAGTGATTCACCAGGAGGCACCGTTGCTGCTGGCCTGCACCTGAGCTGCCTATTAACTATTAACTGTTTACAGACCGATCGACTTTTCCACCGTTAAATAGAAGGACATGAAAGTGGTATTCCCAGCAGGCAGCAAGGCACATTCCCTCATTTATACTTGGATTTCATACAGTGCATTGCTTTGTGAGGAGACAGGAAGCTGCATGGATGGGTAGTTGCCCTTAAGCCACTTATGGCCAGGAGCAAAATTCTAAAAAACAAAACAAAAAAACTCTCCCCTAGCCATAAACAGGCTCAGTCTGAAAGATTTGCCACCACAAGTAACAATCAGAAGATTCTCTGAAACAAAGTGATGTGTGATGAGGGGAGAAGGAATGCACAGAAATGTACAGCCTGTTGCAGACTGTCTTCCAGGAAGCTGAGGCAAAGGGAAGGTTTTAGGAGCAAACTGAAGGGGAGTGTGTGAGGAATTTTCAAAGAAAGCAAAGGTGGAGTCTACTCAGCCTCAACTGAGGCAGCCCTCTTACAGACACATCTAGAAGGAGCTGGGTAAGGCTGTGGTTCTGGAAGAGCCTAGGCGGCAGTTCCTACACGAATACACGCATGCCGAGTTCTAGTCTTCCTGCATGCGTATGTGCATGCACCCCCCTGTGTTGCTCCTGCATGTCTACACCATGCCCTCACCCTGCTCTGTTATTCCTACATGTGTACATGCATGCTCCCCATGAATGCTCCTCAATTCTACATGTACTGTGCATCCCCGGCTCTGTTTACTTATTTGTTTCAGTTAGGGCTTGGCAAAAGTGGATCCATTTTAACTTGGGTAAATGTATCAGTTATTATTCTCCTTAGTGTGACAAACACAAGAGGAAAGCAGCTTAGGGAAGGAAGGGGTTTGGAGGCTCACAGTTCGAGGGCACAGACTGTGATGACAGGGAAGGCATGGTGGTGGAGAGTGAGGCGGCTGGTCACCTCGAATCCAGTCAGGAAGTAGAGAGGTGAATGTTGGAGCTCAGGACCTTAGCCCATGGAAGGTGTTACCCATATTCAGGGTGGATCTTCCCAACTCAGTCAGCGCTGGAAGGAACATAACTGAGCTCCTAGGATCTAGGCCTACCCACCAGACACATCCAGAGTAAACTGCCTTTCCTCACCAAATAGCATGTTTTCCCCTCCATGCTGCACTTGCCACTCCACTTTCTAAGCAGTGAACAGTAGCCAAGCCACAGCCTGGATGCTTTCCTGTCTGAAAATGTCTTCCACCAAACAGTTTAGCTTTTTTTAATTCAGCCTCATTCCAGTTCTCAGGACCTGGGCAGAATGTTTTCAGTCTTTGCCAAAATGTAACACAAATGGCTTCTAGCCCAGCTCCTTTCAGGACGTGTGTTCCCCTCTGAGCCAGTGTGAGGCAGGTTTCCACTGTCTGTTTTCTCTTGGGATTCTGACCTTCTGAGCTCCCAGGATGGGCCACTGAGCTCTGCGTACATCCTTCTGTGGCTTTTCTAGCATGACCTTGCAACTCCCACACTCCCACTGTGAAGCATGTCCAACCTTAGAGGAGCCTGGTGCTCAGGCTTAGCATAGTGGCACCTGTACCCCTGCTTCCGGTTTTCCTTGGTTATTTCTCTCCATTTCTAGCAAAAATCACAATTTGGGAGGACAGGCCATTGTGCCCGAGAAGGCATGGTGGTAAGGGCACGAGGTTACTGGTTACGTGGGGTCAGCGGTCAGGAAGCAGAAAGAGATGAACATTTTTATCCCGCTCACTTTCTCCTTTTACTTAGTTCCAGGCCACAGGCCGTGGAACCGTGCTGCCCACGCTCACGGTGGAGCGGCTCACCCCAGTTAGCACATGCGCACATGTCTAGATGTGTGTCTCCTCAACGTTTCTGCATCCTTTCAAGTTGGCATTCAGTTTTAACCATCACAGATACATTTTTAAAGGCTTTCTATGCCTTTAAATCCCACAGATGAAGTCCACTGTGTGTCATGGATGCACACAACACTAGTTTTCTTCCACTCTCAGCACTGAGTAAAGCTAGTCTCTCAGGAGGGAAACATGGAATCCGGACAATTTGCTTTTCTTTGTTAACTTTATTTAGAAGCCAAATCATGTAGATGTAACATCCAAAATCCAAAAATAAAAAGAACTAGCAAGTCCCGTAATCACCAGGATACAGTAAACCTCACCACAGCATTTGATATGTTTAGAGGGAAAATGACATTGCTGGTGGCAGAGTCAGAATAAAGAAACTCAGGATCCTAAAGGGTCCGTTTACAATAAGAGGGTGTCCCACAGCATGGCAAAATCCACGGGTCCCCTAGTCCATGTAGTGCTGATAACAATTGTAACACCGTTTGTCCTTCACATTTTTAATATCAGAAAAATCAGGTTTGCCCTTTTTGTATCAGAGTCTTTTCTTGTTACAGGCTTGGCACTTTGCCTTTTCTGGCTGAAAATAACTGGTGTGATACCAGTGCTGTCCACGATGACCACTTTTGAGCACCTCTTTCCTAAGCTCTGAGCTGAAGCAGACATTAATGTGTCTTTGAAAGTCTCACACCCTGCTTCTTAAAGACAAACACACTCCTGAGGAAACACCCCAGGGAGAGAAACCTTAGTCACTGATGTGCTAGGGAGAACCATGTTGTACCCACTAGCCGCGGGATGGAAGGAGAGGCATGGCCTGGGCCAGAGGAGACCTGACTGGGAGCTGCTAGCAGACTAATAGGATGCTAGGGACCTGCATTACAGGGCTGCAAGGGAAGGACAGAAGAGAACCAGAGATGGGATCCTGGGGTCTATGCCTGCTCCCCTGTGGATAGGGTGGGTAGGTGTGTAGCCAGTAAATATTCGCCTCTTCCTATATGGAGGGGAGACTGTAAGTGTTTCTCGGTGCAGTTTTCCTGAGGAAAAGGGAAGGCAAGTGTACTGGCAGGCTGGTTCCCTCTGCCCCATCATAAGTCCTGTTTTCTATTCCTGTTTTGGTAAAAACACAGACTGAGACCACAAATTAGGCCCGAGTGATTTTGGTAGAATAGATGTCTATAGACATGCATAAGGAAACAACCTATTGCCGTAGCTAGCTGCCAGCTGTAGCTCATACTCACGCTAGCCCTGACTCAGAGGATTGTGGTGTACTGTTCAGTTGAGCATGGCTTTCTGAAGTCCTGCCAGTTATTAACTACGATAATCTTGTTTATTCTTTAGGTTTTGCCTTGTGGTTAGCGGGCATGGTGATAAATATCCATTCAGACTACATCCTGAGGAATCTGAGAAAACCAGGGGAAACCGGATACAAAATACCCAGGGGTACGTACCGAGAGGGATTTTTCTGCAAAGTTGCTTTGCACACTGCCTGCCTGTCTTCGTTTCTCAGCGCTGCAAACTCGCAGCTGAAGGTTTTCAGTGTGAGCCACAGTTAGGACTGTTCACTTAGAAGGGGTCAGTTCTGGCTTCTGAAGATGATGAAGCAGTGGAGGGGTTCTGTGTTTGGAAGCAGGATAGGGAGGACTTACAGGCCACAGCACACTCTGGTCCTTACTGTCCTGCACTGTGGTGGAATAGCTTCTTTCATGCAATCTCTTGGAAACTATATAAAATATTGGATGGGATTTAAAAAAAAATTTTTTTAATACATTAGTGTGCTACAAGGAAAAAGTCATCAGGCGACAAAATGTGAGTGTGTGCTGGCGTTCAGAGAATACTGTGTGACAGTGTGTGACTGGTACCCCCTCGGCCTCACTTAGAGGTCCCTCTGAGCAACCCACAGCTGTGGGTGGGCTGTGCTCCTCGTGGTCTTGCTGTGGTGCATCCATGGGCCTGGTTGCAGAACCAGCACTGCTGCGTCATGCCCAGAGGAATGGGTGTCCACAAGCTGCAGGTCCCCTGAGGAACCTAAGCACTATGTCCAAGAGTCCCGCTGACTCGGAGGACTGGATGGGGTCAGATTTAAAGTGGACACGGCACTGATGAGTAAAGGAGCCAACAGCTAAGCACCAAGAAAGTAGAACCTCAGAGAGTTCCTAAAGACAGAACAGCATTGCAGGTGAACCTAAAACTTTGAAAACACGTGAGGTTGATTAACAGTAAAAATAAGATTTACAAAATAAATAAAATGAAACGAGTCACGCCAAATTCTAATTAGTCCCAACTCCCCAGAGCCGGGAAGCAGCAGAGCCATCCCCTAGAAGTCACAGTGTGTGATAGACTGTTGTGTGACTTCCTTATGTGAACAAGCATGTGTTCCCCCAAGGCAGGGCACCAATGGCAGACCGGAGAAAGGATGAGCCTCAGGCTAGTACTGTGAGCCAGTGGCTTGGTTGGTACTGCTTACTGGAGCATGGATGACTCAGAGACAGCTGGGTCCCCCACAGCCCACCCCAGCCTGGGTAGTGACTCACCAAAGCGAAGCCAAAGCTGCATTGCTGGAGTTTCCTCCCTGCCTTCCTGAGTCAGCAGGTTTCTCCTCCCCTGCAGTGACTCTCGCCTTTGTAATCAGAGAGGTACCTTGTGAACCCTATGGCTCTCAGGAGATTCCTGAGCTGGGTAAGTGTTGTGGAGTGATTTCTCAGCCATACGTTTCCTCCTGTGCGTGAGTGTTTCTGCTGGAAGGAAACAGCATCGAAGCATAGGTGTGATGGAGGACAAGCTCTGAGGGATGGGGAGGTGCCCCTGAGGCCCTGTGCTCATGAGCAGACAGCAGTCAGCTGTGACTTTCCAAAGGAGCCATCTCCTGGAGAGCACATAGGCACTGCCCCTGCCTCCTAGTCACACCCACATCTGCATAATAAACACCTGATTTCACAATTGGGGACAAGGCATCAGGTCCAGGGGACAGAATAGAAGGATCCACAAAGTGCAAAAGCCGTGCAAGTGACAGGTTCACAAAACACCACATCTAGACTCAGCATCTTTCTCACCACCGCAGCAGGCTACCTGGCCGGAGGCAAGTGAATGAGGAAGGACTTGTTTTGGCTTGCAGTTTTGAGGGTTCTGGGAGGCACAGCAGAATTTCATGGCTGGCATGGCTCATACTGGACATCAGGAAGTGTCAAGAGCTATCTCTAATCCTGACTGGGCTAGAAATACTCTGAAGGTCCACCCTCCTCAACAGCCCAACTTCTCCTAAAAGTCTTACAAGCTCCAAAATGGTGCCGGAAACTGAGCACCACATGTTCAAATACATGGGTCTCTAGGGGACATTTCATAGTCACTGATACTCATAAAATCCAGAGATGGCAGGATCCCAGGGGAGGGCCCTGCCCAGCCAGAGTGGTCACACAGGAGCCTGAGGCCCTTTGAATACAACAGCCTGTCCAGCCCATGGCAGTAGAGATGCGACAAAACTTGTATCCCTTTTCCTTCAAGTTTTTTTTTTCTTCTTTTACTCCTCCTCCTCCTCCTCCTCTTCTTCTTCTTCATTCAAAGTTTTCACTGTGTATCCATGGGTGGCTTCAAACTTGCCTTGTAGACCAGGCTAGCCCTGAGCTCACAGAGATCCCCCTGCCCCTGCTTCCCAAGGGTTGGTATCAAAAGCGTGTGCTGCCACACCCAGCTTCTTTCATTTCTTGACACCAGTTGCATATTCATGTCCTAACCCAACATCATGAAACCAGAAGAACAAGAAAGTCAGAACACCTTTGCAGACACACTGTAGGGGAAATTCCTCTGTTAATAGGAATGCCTCTCTGAGCAGAGGAAGTTGCAGCTGACATCCCAGTGTAGTTTGTCTTTGGGGAAATGAAGCAGCTACAGCATCAGTGCCCATTGACTAAATGCCAGCAGAGCACTGCCCGCTCCAAACCTGGTGCCCTGCCTGCCACAGGCAGAGTGGCTTTAATCCTGCAGTGAGAAGAGACCACCTTCTTGTCTGTAGCTGCACATCTCCCAGAGGCCTCCAGGGCCCTTAGAACAAGCTGAGCAGATGATACAAAGGCTAGTGCCTCCCAGAAAACAGAAGATGCCACCAGCAAGCAGGAAAGGCAATGCAGGAGCTGTGAGGTTAGGCAGGAAATCTTTTCTAACATTCATCATTTCTAATCTTCTGAGTTAAGAGTCACACCAAGAAACAACAGAAACCATAGCAGAACATCCAGCAGGTCCCACAGAAGGATGTGAAAGATGGAAATGAAATGAGAGGAGGAAAGGAAGCCTAAGAGACTGGATTCCATGACAGCTGTACAAAGCAGGGCAGGGGACCTCAGTGTGCCTGTTGCAGGACACAGAACACACCCTGAAGACAAGAAAGCCTTGGTGGTGGGATAGAGCCTCAAGTCTGATATTCAGAGGAGCTCAGCACGTTGTACCATGGGAAAATGACAGAAAGCCATCGGCTGCACCTGGACAATCTTCTCTTTGGTGGTTATGCAGATCCTTGAGGTGGTCCCCAAGGAGGAAACATAGGCTTTTGCCCTAGCATCCCTTACTTATGCTCTGTCAGCTCTGTCAGTGGTTTTAAAGATCCAAAGCACAAGGTGTGACAGCCGTGAGTCTTGAACCGACCAACTCACCGCACGGTCTGCCTTCCAGGACGCTCTGAGTGTGTCACTCGGCATGGGGTCTGTGCTCAGTGGCTGAGCCACACCCAGTGGAGTTGTTTACCAGAGCTGACAGTTACACTGGTGTCTCCTGCCAAGGCCAAGTGAGGTTATTTGGCGGGTGGGTGCAGAGCCTGGAGTCAACACAGAGATAGGATCCCAGCTTGTCCACACACGCAGATGCAGAGACCGTCAACCCTGACCAGGGAAAGGGCAAGCGCGGTGAGCTGGCAGTGACAGTGACAATCCACTGCTTTGTTTTGCTCAATTAAAGCATTCGAGAGCAGATAAAAGCTTGATTGGCTGGTTAGCAGGTTCTGGGATATGCCTGCCTCCATCTCTCCAGAAGTGAGATTATAAGCGTACACCCCACGCTTGGCTTTTTATGTGGGTGGTGAAGACTGAAATCAAGTCCTTGTGCTTACGAGGCAAGTAGCTGTGCCATGCGATCTGTCTTTACACTCTGTAAAGTTAGTGCATAACAATGTCTCGGGCAATACATTTGTTTGTACCGTTTTACACACACTTGTCTTGTGCTGTCTCCTTATGCTGCCTTCTTCAAAGGGACGGCGCCTAGCAGAGTTTTGTGTGGGATTCTTAGCTAGTGTGTGCTCACCAGCCCCTGCCCCACCCCATGCTTCCACCATGGTCTCCACACTGGACACCAAAGAGAAAGGTCACATGGTGTCCTGTTGTGGCCTCCACCCCAGGTTGGGATGGTGTGGCATTTGAAGGGAGGCTGCAGAGGTGCCCACTTCGAGGATTCAGGCTTTTTTTTTTTTCTATCATCATCATCATCATCATCATCATCATCATCATCATCATCATCATCATCATAATCATCATCATCATCGTGTGCGTGTGTATACATGCAGGGGCACACACATGCCACTGCACATGTGTGGAGGTCAGAGGACCATTCCCTGGAGTCGGTTCTCACCTGCCAACCTGTGGGCTCTGGGGGTTGAACTCAGGTCATCAAGCTTGGCAGCAAGTACCTTACCTACTTTTGACCACACTCCCAGACTCTGGCCCTCCCTAAATCCCTTGTCCTATCACTAAGACACTTAGCTTTTCATGGAAGATCTCATGTAACCGGTGCTGAGATAACAGTCCTGGGCCACCATGTCTGCCCTACTTCATTCTCTCTGGGGTGAGTGAGACAGTGTCATTGCAGGGAAGTGTCTGAAGCAGCAGATGAGCCTCACAACCCCCTGGAGTCCGGCCACAGATGCATGCACACAAGAATTCTTAGAAGCCCAGAACCTGAGAACCTCGTGCATGCATGCATGCGTGTGTGAGGACCCACCCACCCTACAGTAACAACCCTAGTATTTGAAACCATCATGTTTAACTGTGTGTTAGATCACAGACCATCTTCACTTTCTCCCTCTCCCTCAGTGCTGTCCTTGCACAGCTCCGGGGACTTGGACTTGACTGGGACAGTGAGGGAATGAAGAAGCCACAGACAGTCACACAGAGAATCTGGGATCAGTTGGACTGCTGGCTGCTGGTGAAACTGCAGCATTCTGAAAACCTGTCCTGTTTATTATGTTGTGTTGAACTGAGAGCCGAAGTTATCACACAGAGCTGATTCGGAAGCGGGTGTGTGGCATACCACTGGATCAAGGAGGGAGGTTTGGCTGATCCTGATAGGAGCTCTCCTTCGTTAGGGAGCAAGCAGTCTTTAGGCTGTAAACATCTATGGGGAGAAAACTGCAGTGGATATTTTCAGCACACACTGTTAATGATCATGCATGGACCAGAGAAAGGCTTTCTGTCCATCCCTGTGAACCCACTCAAAGAAAACATTGCCACACCTGTAGGACAAAGACCCGGTTCCTGGTCTTGACCATGCCCATGTCAACACACACATTCGCTCGACACTTCACACATGTGAGAGTTAAGCCCTGCTGCGCTGTGACCTTGTAGCTGCAGATAAGTGTGTAATCCTACCCAGTACTTGCTTCTAGCCACATACACCAGACTGCGGTGTCTGACCTGTGTTCTCTGTTACAACAGCTTCTTCTCTTCTGAGAAGTACACCACCTGAGCTCCCCCAGGACCTGCGTGCATTTTGGTTGCCGACGTGGCTTCTAGAGGTGGTTTCTGACGGAGGGGATAAACACCTTTTTAAAATAAGTTCTACCCACAGCAGATTTTCCGTGGAGCTGTGAATGGGGACCTAGAATGGAACACACAGGGCTTCTCTATAGTGGCCCTCAGCTGTCCCCCACTCAGCACCAAGTCCATGTCTCCTCAAAAATCTCTCTACTGTAGCATAGCCTGGCTGAGGTGCCCCATGGCTACCACTGCCCAGAGGGTAATACACCTAATGCATATTTGGAAAGACCTTACACCTGAAGTTTTCCTTCGTTCAGGCCTTTCTCTCCCTCCACCTCTGCCAGGCTCTTTGCTCATCAGTCTGCCAGACCTGACCCTCTTCTTCAGAGACAGTCTCTCCTGATTTAAGCTGCTTTCCCAAGTCTGCTACAGAAAAGGGCTGTTTCCAAATCCTGTTGGCAGAGGGCAGCAGCTACATTGAGTGACTTTTTTCTTAGGAAATCCTGTTTCTCAACTAGACTCCCAGCTAGGATCAAATCTGTGATCTTTATCTAACCTCTGCCTCCTTCTGCTCCCACACCTGCGACAAACCTTCCCATTTCTTTCTTCTTTCTGCTTCCCACTACACACACACACACACACACACACACACACACACACATACATACACACACAGCCGGCATTTCCCCTTATGTAGTGGTCTGGCTCAGAACCTGAGACAGGGATGTTGCACAGAAAACCAACCACTCCTCCCCATTATTCCTTTCGTAGGAGGTGACATTTTGCAGATTTTTCTCCGCCCCCCCCACCTCAGATAAAGGCCTGTACTGTCTTAAGTCCCTTGTCCCTGGCTCACCATCCCAGCTCATTAGCCTTTCAGCTAGCATTCAGTGAAGAGCTTTTTTTTTTTTTTTCCAATATTGAATTTTTGTTCTGCCAACAATTTCCAGCACCTCCAGATGTTTGTGGTGACCTTTCTCCTCTTTTCTCTTTTTCTCTAGGAGGCTTATTTGAATACGTGTCTGCAGCCAACTATTTTGGGGAGGTGGTGGAGTGGTGTGGCTTTGCCCTGGCCAGCTGGTCCCTCCAGGGCGCAGTGTTTGCTCTCTTCACCTTCTTCGTCTTGTTCACAAGAGCAAAGCAGCATCATCAGTAAGTTTTAAGACATGTTTGCATTCTTAGTTTGCTCTTAGACTTCAGTGTCGTGGCTTTCAGGCTAGACATTCAGAATGCTAATATTAACTTGAAGCACAAAAGCTGAGAGCCCAGGGGCAGGACCTGTGGGGATCCTCCCTGGGGCCTGCAGCTCGGTGCCTTAGTCACTGTTGTATTGCTGAGAAGCGACGCCATGACCAAACAAGTGTTTGACAGAAAGCATTTAACGGGGAACTTGCTTACAGTTTGATTTAGTCCATTAGCTGAGACCAACATCCTGATCTGTAGGCCGAAATAGAGAGAGAGAGACTAGACTCAGCCTGGGCTTTTGAAACCTCAAAGCCTGCCTCCTCTAACAAGGCCACACCTCCTAATCCTTTCATAGCTCTACTTCCTGGTGACTAAGCCCTCTATTATACAAGCCCGTATGGGGTCATTCTTGTTCACACTGCCACAACCTGCTGAGAAATACAGAGGTATAAAGAAACAGGGCAAGAACCTGAGAGGAAGGTTATACCCAGGAACTACATTATCAAATGTAATGTGCCTGAAGCACAGCGTGAGTGAGAGCTGCCAGAGGGCTGCTGGTTGTCTGTGGCCGGCAACCTAGCTGCCAAGAGAGGCAGCAGCTCTGTCCCACTGGGATGGGAGCAGCCTAGACTGGCAGGCTGTTACATGGATTCTTGCTTGGGTATCTCATCAGGCTTTTCCTTTCTGCTAGTGGTAGCTTAGATGCCAGCCCCCATGCCTTTCTGCTGATTGACCTCGCAGCCTATACTTGGAGCAAGTAGCAGCCATCATAGACAGAATGCATTTGCTTTCTGGCCTTCTTAGGCCTCTCTCACTCCCCTTCATGTCCCCATCTCAGATATAAACACTGACTTCTGTCAGGGAATAGGGCAGTGACTGCTGTAGCTGCTTCATGCTAAGAAGGGGCAGAGTCCATGGGGGGGGTCTAAAAGGAGAAAGAACTCTTATGAGGAGATCTCTGCTGGTCCGGGTGCTGCAGTAACAGTCAGGAGGGCAGTGCATCTTGGGCTCTTTCTGCAGGACTAACTATAGAAACAAAGGAGCAGATGGACTGGAGAGAAGAATGCTAGAGGTCACTTTAGTACAGTCCAGAGAGTGATGACCCCTGGGTTCACTTCCAGGCATGTTGATAGCTATTAAGTGGCTAGAATCACAGTAACAGGGGCCTCCCAGAGAGAGAGAGAAGAAAAAAAATTGTACTGTGAGAGCCAGAGAGATTGGATCTCACCTCTGTCTCTGTCGTGTTTGCTTGTTCTCTCTCTCTCTTTCTCTCTCTTTGTTGTGTGTGTGTTTTGAGACAGGGTTTCTCTGTGTAGCCATGGCTGTCCTGGACTCACTTTGAAGACCCAGCTGGCCTCGCAACGATTTGCCTGCCTTTGCCTCCCTGAGTGATGGGATTAAAGGTTTGTGCCACCACACCCAGCTGGGGGGAAAAATTTAATCACAATTTGATTATTATCAGGTTAAAGCTATTGTAGACCTGTCTTGGCTTCACATAGGCACTGCAATGGTGTATTGAGCCCAATGTCCAAAGAATATGGTTCCCTTAGTCGCTTAGAAAAGCGAACCAGTCATCTCACCCATGAGCTGCTCTTTCCTGCTGGGTGTTTAGGATTAGACAGGTAGCCAAAATCAATCACTTTTTTCTCTTAGTGTCTTTGTTAGGGTTTTATTGATGTGAAGAGACACCACGACCACAGCAACTCCTATAAAAGAAAACATTTCACTGGGGCTGGCTCACAGTTTCAGAGGTCTAGTCTATTGTCGTCATGGCGGGAAGCATGACAGCATGCAGGCAGACGTGGTGCTGGAGAAGGAGCTGACAGTTCTACATCTTGATTCCACAGGCAGTGGAAGGAGACTGTGTTGTCACACTGTGCATAGCTTGATCGTAGCAGACCTCAAAGCCTATCCCACAACGTCATACTCTTCCAACAAAGTTGTACCTACTCCAACTCCACTCCCTATGAACCCCCACCACAGGCACCTTGCTCTGTGTCCCTCCCTCCCTCCTTTGGTCACTTCCATTGCTGAGCATGCTGGTCTCTCCTCGTCTCCCCCACATCCTTCCCAGCCCCCAAGCAGCACACAGGATTACAGCTTATACATTGCCTGCCTTGTTTTCTCTCGAATTCCAGTAACACTGTCTCCCAGCCTCCTCCTAATGCCATTTCTTACTTTTTTATTGATAAGATTGAGAACCCAAAGAAGAGATCCTGATTTCCCCAGCAACACAGTGAATGCCTTGGGATTTTCACTAGTAAGGCTTTTGTTTGGAAAAGTGAATTATTTATTTCCCATTTCTGTACGTTTCATATTCAGAGATTGAGTGGGACTTTCTCCATCCCTGTTTTGATATAGAAAACTGCTTCACAACAGACTTGGCCACCTCATGTCTCATCTTTCCTGATCCAATTTTCAATAGTATGATCGCTCATTTGACTAATTAGAGACACACCACTGTTTAGTTTTCCTAACACATATAGCAGATGTAAAGAATAGCAAGGAGCCTGGACAAGGCAACAGCCCACAAGAGGCTGTCCCTGTGCATGTGGAACCTGGACCTGAAGATGGAGCTACATCTTGGTTCCTTGGCTCCCCTAGTATCCTGTTTGGCTAGTGAGAGGGACCCTCTTGGCCTCCTCCCTAAAACTGGCTGTCTAGCTCTGTGAATATGGTGAATAAAGCTGAATTAAGGAGAGTAGCTGTTGAGTAGACTCAGAAAATGTGGCTCCTGGCTTGTCTCAGAGCTGATACTAAAGGAGAAAACTGGGGTCAGACAGGGTGCTAAGTAAGGTGGTTAGGGAAGGTGTGGGTATCCCCATCCGTGCACCAAGGAGGCGAAAGCCAACTCCCCTAAGATTTCCCTGTCTGACTACATCTCACTTTAGACACACAAACTGGCTCCAAGAATCCTCCAAGAATACTACTTGGCTGCCTTCTCAAACACTGGGCAAAGTCAGACAAATGAAAAACCTGGAGGCTCGGCCCCACTATCCCCTGGGAAGGTTTTCTTACAAGAGATAATGGGAGCATTTGGATTTGCCTATATTTACATTGCCTTCTCTCTGGTTAGTGGAGTCTAAAGACAGCAGAAGGAGCTGGGCCTGGTGGCACAGGCCTTTAATCCCAGCACTGGAAAGGAAGATGCAGAAGGAGCTTTGTGAGCTCAAGGCCACCCTGGTCTGCATAGAGAGTTCTGGACAGCATTGTGAGGCCTGGTCTCAAAAAAAAAAAAAAAAAAAAAAAAGGACAATATAGGCTTACAAACAGTTGGTGACCCCAAATCTAACCAGAATTTTGGGTCAGACATTGGTAAAGGTGGGTACATTTGTCCAGTTGCTTCTCCTTAATCAAGACTACTTACTGCAACTCACTGATGACGCCATAAAATTTAAAGACCTGTCAATTCCTGTTCCCAATGAGTGACCCAAAGATGGTGAGAGCAACCTGGACAAATCCATCTTCATTATAAGGACAGGTGCTTTGGGTCCAGCGTGTTATACAGGATTCGATGGAAGTCTCCTGTTCACTGTAACGCACTGGGTTCAGTTTTTCTGAGGAGCACATGACTTTTGTGCATCTGCTATTTATGTAGATCACTAAGACTGTCTTATAATTTCTGTAAGGTCTCTTGGGAGCTTATCAAGCCACACAGTATGACACTGTCTACAGGTGGCATTAAATTACTGTGTAGGAGTGCTGCATAGCACTGTCTTCAGTATCAAACAGCTGCCATGACATGAGCTGGGAGAACCTATAAAAGATCATCGTGGCCAGGATGGTTGATTGCTCCTGTGTTCGTGTCATTATGTATCACAACGTGGCTGGATGTTTTTCTGGGAAACCAAAATATTAAAAATTACGTTTCTGGGTTACTGGGTTAAAGGAACAAGTGGACAAAGACTAGTCAAGGCCGACTAGCTGTCGGGGGGGGGGGGGGGGGGGGAACCAGCCTTACTGCATTCTTTCCTGACCACTAGAGATACGGTTGGTAGGAAGCCAATCCAGGTGGCTCAAGCTCCTGACAAAAGTCACATGTAGCCTTGTTCCTGGAAGATACCACGAAATATATAGTCACCCCTGTACCCTAGCAACAGCTGATCAGCACAAGAGAGGGCATTTTGACCGAAACCCAAGACCAGGTACTCTCCCTACCCCCAACAAGAGAGAACAAAGACAGTCAAAACCATTAGTGATTTTGGTGCCTTCCCCTAGCCAATCATTTTTAAATGCAGCATCTCCCTTTGTGTTTCAATCAATAGATGCTTGCCAGACTGGAATTCTTCTGCTTTAGGGTGTAATGGGAGGGACTGGGGCCTATAAATCAATCCCAACCCTGCACATGGGGCTCTCAATTGGATACCAGTGCCTTGGTGTCTGAGAGGCCCAGCTCGAGCTATGAGTAAAGATCCTCGTGTAATTGCAACAGACTCGGCTCCTGGTGGTCTTTTGGGGGGTCTCACAATTCAGGCACAACATCCTGGTGCATTAGCCAGGAACCCCAAAAAACCCAGGACCCCCGAGCCGAAGGATCGGAACCCCGGGTAAGCATTTTTGTCTTGGCCAAGTTCTGTGTTTTCTGTTTCTGTTATGTCATTCTATGTATCTTTGAGACCTCAAGGCAGTGTCAGTGAGTAACTGCATACCAGTGAGTGGCTCCTGGTGGTCTTTTGGGGGTCTCAGAAATCAGGCACAACATTTCCAGAATGAAAAAGAAAACCTGAAAAGCTGATCATCTTACAAGGGTCTGAGCGAGTTGTATAAGTGTGCTAAAATGTTTTACGCTAACTTGACACAAGCTAAACTCGTCTGAGAGGAGGGGACCTCAACTGAGAAAATACCTCTATAGACAGGCCTATAAGGCATTTTCTTAATTAGTGATCAATGAGGGAAGGCCAGCATATTTTGTGCAAGGGGGTCTATCCCTGGGTAGGTGGTCCTTGGCTATCCCTGAGCAGGTGTTCCTGGGTTCTATAAGAAAACAGGCTGGCCAAGCCATGGGAAGCAACCCTATAAGCAGTACTCCTCCATGGCCTCTGCACCAGTTCCTGCTCTCTTTGAATTCCTGTCCTGAGTGCCTTCAATGATTAACAGTGATGCGGAAGTGTAAGCCAAATAAGCCCTTTCCTTGCCAGGTTGCTTTGATCATGGTGTTTTGGTGTTTCATAACAATAGTGGTAACCCTAACTAAGACAGTAAGATATGCAGAAGGTCAAAGTTCAACACACTGATGTCAAACCTCTACTTAAATCAGTGGAATTATGGGTCTACTCTTCATATCAATTACAAGAATTTGTTTAAGGTTTGGCTTTTGTCTAAGTTTTGTTTAAATATTATATAATAGTTAAGAGGACCAGGCTGCGAAGTCGGCCTTCTGGTGGTCAGTATTAGAGGGATAAAAGAGGACTTATTTACTGCTTACCCTCCAAGAGCAAGTATGTCCCAGGGGATCATGAGGCATCTCTCAAAATGCACTGTAACTGTGGGGAGTTGCCTGTTCTTTTTGTTCAGGGAGACCACAAAGACCCTACACAGTGAGCCCTAACCAGTGTCCAGTCCAAAAAGAAGAAACATCTCCTCCATGTTTCCAAGTGAAGCCACAGTAAGGGAAGGCCTATGGCTTTGACTTATCCTCATATAGATGGAACAATACGTGAAAGAAAAAACAGGTCAGGGCTCCTCTCAAGCTAAGCAATCCATATCCTTAAGTGGCCATGATACTAAGTGTGGTGGTTTGAATGAAAATGGCTCCAAGGTCCATTGGGAGTAGCACTGTTAGGAGGTGTGAACTAAACGTCTGAATGTAAGCCAGCTCCAATTAAATGTTTTTTCTTTCTAAGAGTTGCTGTGGTCATAATGTCTCTTCACAGCAGTAAAACCCTAAGACAGTGTCCAAGAAAACAGGCTTAGCCTTTTTTCAGTATCTAAAAGAAAGAAAAAGGAAGTTAAACTTTTAAACTCAGAAAAGCAAGCAGACTTGGCAGAGCTGCATGATGGCTGGGACTGCACTGAGGGCTGGGTTTTCTCAGGGAAAAGTATATTATCTCATTAAGGGCTAATTACTCCTACTGTCTCTTTAGCATGGCTTTAAGTAAATGTCACTTCCTGACAGTCCCTTGGCCAGGTGACTAACAGCCCCAACTGGATGAACTTTTAATGAAGGAGTCAATAGTATGTAATGTTCTACTCATTGGAGTAGATCAGAATGTAAGGTCCCCATCCAAGGCCAAAGGCAGATTCCGTTCCTTTGACTAGGAGCAAATCACTTTCTTAATGGACCTGAACAGGGTCCTGATAACCTCAGTGGCCTCTAAAGATATATAAACATTTTCCCCATAAGAATAAAGAACGTAAAATCACTTAGGAAATGGGCTGACGTTGGGGAGCACACTTAACCCATGTCCACCATGAAAGCATTAGCATCTGGACTGGAGAGTCTGTTACATATCCAGCTTCCAGGCAGCGGTGCTCATTTAGGAGGAGCATCCCTTTCTGGCCTGGAAAAATGGACCTGATGGCCTTTTCAGTCCCCAGCCCTAAACTGCTTAGCCGCTTCCTGTGCCAGGTCCCCATCATTTGCAGGATTTCTGAGCTGTAAGTGTTTTTTGTCATTGATTGTTTAAATTGACATCAGTGTGGGATGGTTTTAAATCCTAAAGAACAATAATTCAGTTTTATGGAGGTAATGATCAGAAATATCACCCTTATTAGCTGAGGACAAAGTAATTATGCCTTTGAGGGCAGGGTTCAGGGTCTTACTTTTGCTGGTCTGAAAACAGAAACCCCTTGCCCTTGCCTTTCAAGTATGGGCATGTAATAACAGGACTGGTGTTATAAACCCTATAAACCCAAGAGCAATTCCTCGCTTTGTACTCATTGCAGTGTTGGAAAACAGTTTTGCCTGGCAGTGAAGCTGTAGTAGCAGCATTGGAATTTCAGTTTATAAATGCTCGTATTGTCAGTCAAGCCATAGGCCATTTGCTGCTGTAGCTTGCCAATAAAGGTACTCTTTAGAGAATAAAACTTAAGGAAATTTAAGGGGAGGCTGCCTTCTCCAGGAGCCTATACAGCCATACTTACTTGGCAAAGGGTTGAGGACATGACAGGTCCCAGCTCTCCATGAAGTGGTAGAATAGGTACCACTATTTTATAATATTTTTATAAAATATTATATTATATTATATTTTATAATATTTTTATATTAATTATAAAAATAATGCTTTGTTATTTGTTCATACTAAATGCTTGTACCTGAAGATCAGCCATAAAGGAAACAGAAATTCAAGAGAGAGATTAAACTATTGTAATGTTTACATATTTATTTACATATTTATTTATGTTTGACAACCTCAGTGTGTCCTCAGGATACAGTGAAGGAAGTTTTGCAATAGTGATTTAGAAAAGGAAAGACAAGAAAGAATGTGTTTGTAGAATGCTGGCTGTTGCCACTGCCTCTCTAGCCCGAGGCTCAAGTGCTTGGTCTGTGGTGTAGGGGCCAGCATCACTCAGCTCTGCAGGATGTGAAGATGAGCCCCTGAGGAGAGCCTGCTATCGAGAAGCAGGGAGCAGTGTAGGTGTGTCTGCAAGCCATAACACAATATCTGACAGGAAAACAGTTTAAAGACTGGTTGGCATAATCTGTACGTGATGGGGGTGGGCAGTTAGCTTTCCTGCAGAGGGATCATGAGCTCAATCAGTAGTGATGGGACCACTGAAAAAGAGGAGTCAGGCCTGTGGTAGGCCACACAGGTGACAGCTTTAGTTCCAGGGATAGGAAACAAGAAAAAAAAAAATAATGGCTTTTAAAAACTATCTATACATGTATGCAAACGTAAACATCTTAAAGTGTGACTTTTTGAGGTGGACTTGTTGCAAAACATAATGCAGCAAGGTGGCGGTGTGGCACGCCCACGCCATGGTGTGCCCCTGAGAAACAATACCATGCAACAGCCCTGGTATAAGGAGGTTTGTTGGGGGAAAGAAAAGTAATAAGGGCCTGGAGAAGGGGCAGAGGCAGAGTGCACATGTAGACAGGCAAGGGCAGAGTCGTGAGGGCATAGAGAGGTCTCAGAAGTTAGAGAGGGACAAGAGGCAGAGAGAGCTGGGATGGTGGGTGGTCCTTTTATCGGGCACACATACCAGGCGGCAGCAGCTGGTCATGGCATAAGCCCTTCTTAGATCCCCAGGCCAGCAGAATCATCTGTATGCTAACACTTGTGAGGTCAGTAATTTAACAAGACAGGCTTACTTTAATCATTTAACCAGCATATCTCATTCCTGCCTGTCTAATGATTTTTCAAACGATTTGAAGAACAAGCTCTCAGCAGCCAGTGGCGTGCAGTGGCCTCTAGGGATGTGCCACATCACATAACCAGTTTGCTCTCTCGTCTTTGCTGACGTGTGCTCTGCTGGTTACTCCTCCCTGGCCCTTCCCAGACCACTGTCACCTTCAGTAGGCAGTGTCTAGAAGAATCAACCTCCCTCATCCGTGGGGGGTACCCTGTGCAGGTATTCTCAGGGCATCTCAAGGAACTGGGCTGAGTGGCAGAGCCCCTAGCAGGCCTGTGGGTGCCTCAGAACCTGTGAATGTCCACAGTCACACAGTGAAATGGGAGGAGGCTCTCATCTCTGCATACCCTGCCAAAGAGGTGACAGGGAGGCAGAGGCCCTGGCCAGCTTCTTGTCATTTTCCCTCTTGCATAGACAGCATGTGACAGTGACTGTGGTGGTTGGCCCATATGTTATTACCATTTCTGTGTTTGTGGACTACACTTAGATTCACCTAAACGCAGCATTACGTCCCTGATTCACCTTCCGTTCATCACCTTTACGCTTCTGCTACAATAACAAATAATTGTTTTCCTTTGTCATTTTGAACTGCTTAGCATCTTTTGCAGCTCTGGAAGCTTCTTTTTACAGACTATTTCCAAATCTTATAAGGGAAAAAATGAGATTTTGGAGATGAGGTTCCCTGCACTGTTCCTCAGGGTGGTCTCCAGCTCCTAGGCTCAAGCTACCCCTCAATCCAGCCTCTCAATGCTGCAACTACAGGCGTGGGACACAGCTGGGTTCTTAATTTCCGTTCTTATCCTGCCGGTTCAGTTGTCAGCTCCCCCAGCTGGCTGCCTGTGTTGATGTAATTATATCAAAGCTGAAAATATCATTTGTCTCAAGTGAAGGGATGAATTGCAGACATTACCAATTGTATTTTTAGTATGTGCCAGCATCTATCCTTCCAAAAAGAAAGGTGAATTACCTAGGTCACTTCTGAGACCCTCTTCAGATATTTGAAATTATTCAAACATGGACAAATCTACACTTAAGTTACTAGGTCACTATTGTTTAAAAAAAAAATCTCAGGGGTGAGATGATGATTCTATACACTAAGGTGTTTGCCACCAAGCCTGAGAGTTCAATGCCTGGTACCTATGTGGTGGAGACAACCAATTCTCGGAAAGTTATCTTCTCACCTCCTCACACTTGCTGTAGTAAGTGCATGTACACACGCACACACATGTATACACACATACACATTTTTAAAATATAAAAAAATAAATCCTTGGTATTTCTTGCATAATCACTTTCGTTACCATCTTCGCAGATACTTAAGTGGCAAAATGAATTGGTTTTACACCTTTCTTCTCTCTCATTTTAGGTGGTACCATGAGAAGTTTGAAGACTACCCCAAATCGAGAAAAATACTAATTCCATTTGTGCTTTAGTGTTTTGTCAATGGCACTGTCTTTCTGATGATCTCTCTCTGGGCACTCATCTATAAATGAATTGTTTTCCTTAATTTTCCTGCAGCTTCATCGTTTTTAGGAAGGGCTATAGAGGGGTTTGTCCCCTGATAAAGGAGTAAGCCAAGCATAAACTGATTCCACCCTGTGCAGTTAGGAGATATGCTGCCTTGCAGGTCATATATGGGGAGCAGTGGGATATTATAGCTGATGAGGCCTCTGGCTTCAAATGTGCCTCTTTGGAGTTTTGTTTTTGTTTGTTTGCTTGCTTGCTTTTGAGATAAAGTTTCACAGTGTATACCAGGCTGGCCCTGAACTCACAGGGTTATGAGGTCACAAGACCTCTCATAGAGGGGCGTGTTTGGCACCTCTTCAGTGCCACCGAACCTGGCAGTGCCGCTGTGGCTTCTACATGGCAAAGGTGGAAGAGGACACAACTGATTTCACCACCTTTTACAACCCTGCACAGGTTTTATCCAGGTCAGTATCAGCCCCCTGCCTCCTCAAGGGACCTGTGTTCTGCCTGCTCAGCCCTTGCCACAGAGGCCTGGAGGTGGGGGAGTGTGGCCGGGGAGTGTCTGCCGCCCTTTGACCCCCCCCCCCCCCCGATCTGGGAAGAGAAGTGCTCCTACAAACATGTCCTGTCCCCAGGAGAGATGGGACTACAAGGCTGTATCCGCTCACTGGCACTGTGTTTGTTCTTCCTTTGAGCGAGGCAGAACTAGAATCCTTTCAGGTACTTTTCGAAAGTATCTTTCTTAATATCACAAAACAAAATGTCAAAACCAAATTTCTTATTGTGAATGCACCCAAGGACCAATCGTGGCTTATGAAGATGGAAAGCTCAGGGCTAGCCTGAGCTGTGTAGGGAGCCCGTTTTGAAAAAAAAAAAAAACTAAATGAAAAACAAATAACAATCGGCTAACAGTTTGAGGAAGTGACCGCAGTAATAAAAGACACCACTCACCCAGGCATCAGCTTGGGAGAGAGAGCTCAACCAGGACACTCACCCCCTGTGCTCTGGGGAGTCTGAGGACCACTGGTGAAGAAGGGTCCCCACAGGCCGGATCAGCACAGCACTGAGAATGCACCTACCCCTGGCCCACTGTCACCGGGAGCCGGAACTGAAGGAAATGGCTGTGATAGGACCGTGTGCGTTCTGTCCCCAGAAAGGAAGCTGCATGAAGACCTCTGAGCACTTCACAATGTGCACATACCACCTATTGTCTCTACCTGCTCCTCCAACCCCCCTTCCTCAGTGAGGCCCACCTCCTGTGTCCACCCTCCACCTTCCCTGTGCTCTCTCCAGCTGGCCTTCCCCGAAGAGCCTCCTCAGCGCTTTTGCTCTCATACACAAACTATCCCTGTGCCTCTAATTTGCAGAACATCTAGAACAGATGCAGAAAACTTCATGATGTGGCTGTTTCATTTTAACCAAACAGTGTTTAAATGGGGGAACTCACTGTAAGATCCTTTACCCTCCCCTTTCTGACCAATAACTGGCTTATGCAGATAGAAAGCCCGGGACTAGCCTGGGCTGTGTAGGGAGACCTTGTTTGAAAAAAACTAAATAAAACAATAACAGCTAACAGTTTGAGGAAGTGACCTCAGTATTCATAACACAAAGCAGGCACATAGCAGCTCTCCTCTCAGAACCTCAGAGGCTAGGCCTGCCTGGTGTGTTCTGGAAGGTTTACATGGAACTCAGGTGAGCCCCTGAGGATGCTTGCTGTGAACTTGACCTCCGTCACAGGGCATGGTGCTAGCATGGCACCCAGAACTCCAGGGTTGCTAGGCAGATGCCTTGTCACTAAGCCACACCACACACTAGCCACGCAATGCCTCTTTGTTTATAAAGGACCAAGCCGCCTGAAGGCGGGATGCGTGCTAAGTGGAAGATTAATTAAAAAGGTGTCCTGTCCTAACATTACACTCCATTTCCTAAAACTCCAACTTACTGTGTGAACCATGATTATTGAGGAAATTAATAAACCTACAGTTGTAAGTCCAGTTGTGTTGTTTGTCTCCATGGCAGGTTGGGATAATGTTCAACCCTAGAATCTCACCTCTCTCCCAATGTCAGGTGGTCCTTTAATACCCTAGGTGAGATTGCATAAGCAGAAAGACCCCTTTCTGCTTTTAATTAAGTTTTTTTCCCCCAAATTAAAATCTGTCCAATAGGTTTTGACTGGGATAAAATGAAGCTAAATTTTATAATATTTCTAAGCTTTATAATAAAGCTGCTAAATTATCTCAGGAAGTCCAGCGCTTCCTGTCGCCATCTTCATGATTTCCAGTTTGGCAGCATTCTTTTTGTTGTCATTTGCTGCTTATGTGAGCAAGAACCTGGAGGAAAACACTAAAGATCCTCTGGATTCTCCTGTGATCTCAACACAAATGGCTTTTGAGTATTCTTTTATTTCCTTGTGTGATTAATAGTTCCTTTTCTGCCTTTAGTCCTCAGGGCATTTTCTTTCGCCCTTTTAAAAATCATTTACTTCTTGGGCAAGCAAGAAGTGTGTTTGCCGCACAACTTTAGCCACCATATGGAGAAGAGGAAAACCAACTCCAAAGTTGTCCCCTGGCACACCTCACCACGAACACCCTGCCATGTGTGTGCCACCCCCCCACAGTAATAAATCTGGAGTAATTTGTTTATCTTGAGACTTTTTTTCAGATGCACTTCATACAGGAAACAAAGAAAGGTTTTTACAGCATGTTTGCCCAATATGGGTGGAGTACAACTTCATTGACACTATAAATTATCTTTTTTTTTTTTTAATGTGAATGTGGGCGTTTTTGTCTGCATGAGTATCTGTATACCACGTATGTACGTATGTATGTGCAGTACCCATAGACGACAGAGGCCGTCAAATCCGCTGGGACTGGAGTTACAGATGCTATGAGCACAGTGTGCATGCTGGGAACCCAATTCTGGAAGAGCAGCCAGTGCTTACAACCACCGAGCCGGCACTCCAGCGCCGATGCTTATCTTTTTCTTTAATCTTTTTTTTTTTTTAATCTAAGCTAATTTTGAGTTTAACTTAGCCTTGTTGTTGTTGTTTTGGTTTTTTTTGTTTGCTTTTTGGGTTTTGTTTTTTTTACTTTGGGTGGGTATCTTGTTCCACTCACATCTGCCTGGGGACAAGTCTTGTACTGATTTACTGCCTTAGCTGCTGAGGTTTTAGGTTTTGAAGTTGTGTGTTTCCTGTAAATGGGACCTCTTTTCTTCATCACAATGTTCGTACAGGGCAGGAGAGATGGCTCAGCAGAGGACCCAGTTCAGTTCCTAGCAGCCATGTCAGGCAGCTAGTCACCACCTCCAACTCCAGCTGCAGGGGTTTTCAGTGCTGCTTATAAAGCTGTACTAAATACTCTCTAATTTTAGTTTTTAGATTATTTCTGATCCAGAGAATTTTTAGGATGATATGTTTTAGAAGGATATTTTTTTGCTTTTCATTAATTTGGAGTTTTTGTTGTTTTGAGACAAGATGGTACTGTGTATCTCAAGCTACCCTTAAACTCCATCCTCCTGCCTCAGCCTCCTAAGTCTTGAAATTCCAGGCATGTGCCATCGTTTTTTACACAAAAGGATTTCTTTTTTTTTTTTTTTCCTTTATCACAGGTGTGGATATAGAATATTTTCTGCAAATTTTCTCTGTGGGTCTTGCATTTTCTTGATAACCTGAAGAAAGCACTCTCTCTCTCTCTCTCTCTCTCTCTCTTTTTAACATTAACAGGACCACATTGTAAAGTGTATCCTGTTTGGTTCTGTGATTATTAATTCGAACATTTTATTTTCCTCTATAAATAGATTTATCTCCCATGTCTGATTCTCCTTGTATTTCTGATGATGATCTTGCTTCCCTTGACAAGGCTGTGTCTTTGTAAACCCCTCTTGAGCCTGCACCTCTTACCAACTTAAAACTCTTCCTCCAGTTGACCACTTCATGACTTAACGTCTGCTGTGATAAGAACATCACCATGGTGTTTTCTTGGTAGATGCATACATCTCATATCCATCAGCCATTTTTTTTACTTGCCTTTGAGCTTTTAAATGCCACTCGTTTTAGTCATCTTTAACAAATAAATGGATTTTGCAGGTAATAAATTAGTTCATATTCTTCCACTAATCATCACATTAAATTGTTTCTTTAATCGTGTTTTGCCCAAATGCATGTCTGTGTACCAGGAAATGGGGTCAGTCCTTGGAGCTAGAGTTATAGATGGTTATGAGCTGCTATGTAGATGCTGCAAATCAAACCAGGATGCTCTGGAAGAGCAGCCAGTGTTCTTAACTGCTGAGCCATCTCTCCAGCGCTCCTTTTAGTATTTTACAAAATCTTTTTCTTATTATCTATAATGATTTGGAAAAGAGATTTCCTTTCTAAAAAAAAACTATTGATATTGGCCCTTTTTTTTTTTTTTTTTTTTTTTTACTGTTCCTTCCAGAGTGGCACAGAGGTGAGCTCAGCATATGATTTTACCACATCTTGCCCAGGGTAAATTCTGTAAAAGAACTGGGCGGGGGGGGGGGTGACCCTTCAGCACTGTAGGATGAGACAGTGGGTGAGCAGACACCCAGATGTGTGTGCTCTGTGACATCGGGGGTCCTGTCCTGCAGAGTAGCCCAGTGAAGCTCTCCTGGTCTGTCACATGCATTCTTGCCCCTGACAAACTTAAAGCCCAGAAATCAGCTGCATACTAGTTTAAAGGGAACACACACACACACAAGAGCGACTAGGTTACCATCCTAGGAGCAAAGCCCCCCTAGGCTGCTATGAGGAAGGCTGAGGAAGAAGGATCTCGCTGAGTTGGAGGCCAGCCTGAGCTACATAGTGGGTCCCATACTAACCTGGGCTACAGCATGAGGCCTTGTCTGGAAAATATTTGACATGTTGGTTTTGGGAGGCCATGGTCTGTAATGGTTAGGTACCTTCTACCTCACAATTCGGGATAGCCTGGGTAAGGGTTGATGGTCCCCCCAAATCACTTCTGCTCTGCTTTGTTTTTGTTTTTTCCTTTTGGTTTTTCAAGATAGGGTTTCTCCATGTAGTCCTGGCTATCCTAGTCTCATTTTGTAGACCAGGCTGGCCTCAAACTCACAGAGATACACCTGCCTTTGCCTCCTGAGTGTTGGGATTAAAGACATGCTGCATCACGCCCCACTCTGCCTTTTTTTTTTTTTATGAGCTGTGACACAAGCTCACCTTGTGCATCAGGAAGAGGATGATTCTGGAGAGCAAGTGACGCAAGATCAAGAGGAAATGTCACTTTACAGATGAGGCTTCAAGAGACTGAGCATCCACTGTGGGTTGTCTGAGGGACGTGGGCTCTGGGACACTTGTCACTAACACAGTGGACAATGGACCTATGTTTCAAATGAGCTGAATAATACTTTGTGCAAAGAATTATGAAATTTCAAGAATACTTTAAGTTGCTTGTCTTTGTGCGTCTGTGAGTTATAAGCATTCTGTGGCAAAGCACAGGCCTCAGTGTTCTTTCGGAGGTCAGGGAGTGAGCAGTCAGTTTTACCTTCCATCTCATTTGAGATTGGGCCTCTTCATTGCTCTTCAGCTGGGTACAGAGCTGGTGCCCCGCGTTGGGTCTGGCCACCCATCCTCAATAAGAAAATTTAAGGCCAAATTAGAAGTGGAAAGGAGAAAAAGATTCACCAAGTATGGCCACACTGGGAAAAGTGACAGAGATCCAGTGAAATCCCCCCAAAGTCCATCTTTGGGGTCCTGAAAGTAAAGTTTAAATAAAGAACTAAAATTGCAGCTCCAGTCACCCTGTGGCCCTGCTCTCCACTGACCCATTATTATCTGGGTTTCAGTCATCCCGTAGGCGGCCTGATAAGCTGTTAGAACTGCGCTGCCTAAGGCGCTGGAGAGATGACTCAGCAGTTAAGAACACCGAGTTGCTTTCAAAGGACCCCGATTCAGCTCTTAGCTTCCATACTGGACCTAACAACAGTCTGTAATACCCGGTCCAGGTGATCCAGCACTCTTTTCTGGCCTCTTCATACCCACATATGACAAATAAATAGATTTTTTAAAATCCTGTGAAATCCTTTTTTGGGAAGCAAGTCCTTCCTGTGATTGACACTTTTTCCTTTTCCTAGAATGAGAGTCCGTGGTGGGGCGGGATTTCTTTTCCTTTGTGGTCCTTTGTTTTAATAGTTGGATAGTCAGATTAACAGACCCAAAATGTCTCTTTAGAAGATCTTCATTTCTTGTCAGACCTGTTAAAAGAGAGACCAGCACTAAGCCCCTCCCTGTAGCTTAATCTGCTCATGACCAGCCAGCTTCCTGACAGAGGCTTCAGAGGCTACCTTCCCACAGCTCACTAACAGCACCTCCCATCCAGGCCAGTCCTCAGAGAGCCTCCGTGCAGACCTCAGGCCCTTCTCTGCAGCACTCACAAGGAGCTGCCCATTTCTCCCTGCCATGCACCTGCATCTGTCACCCGCTGCAGGAAGGCCACAGGCTTCAGGAATCTTGGTCAACCTCAAACCAGCGAGACAGTTTACAACCTACGTCAGTCTCCTCAGCGAAAGGCTCTCCATGGCTAGTGCCACAAGCATCTGCTTGCCCTACAGTGAGTGAGTGAGCATTCACCATGTACGTGTCTGTCTGTTCCACAGTGAATGAGCACTCACCAAGTACCAAGCACGTGTCACCACAGACAGACCCTGATCAGATGAAGTGACAATCAAGAGACAAAGAAGCTGAAACAGTATCACAAACTCTCCCGCTGGATACTTTTAGTTCAGGGGTTTCTGGGACATTGCCCTTCTGGCTTCATCTCTAGACTTCCTTTCCTTACCGAAGGACACCCTTGACAAGACAGAGAAGAGCAGAGACCTGACACAGGGACTGAAGTGGGATAGGCACCTCCTCTGGGGACACTGTCAGCAGCAGGTACCTCCCTGTGCCCTGGCCAGCCAGGAAGGTGGAAGATTCTCCTGCTGGCCACACCTATTCAACACCTGTTTGCAAACTGTGCTG